GGAATGGTATAACGGAGTATTTGGGATACCGCGCGCTTTGGGTCAAACAATACAGAGGTTGTGCAACACGTTCAATTCTACCTCACCGGCTGGTCACGAGCGGCCGCAAGATCTAGGTATGAATATGCGAGTACAGTATCTCATGAGATCACGTTCCTACTGTACATAATACGGAGTTGCCGGAATGGATAAGACATAAAAGAATGTTTCCATATAGAATGCAAAGCAAAGCAACAAGCAGCAAGTCTCGCTAAAAGAGTGGAATGGAAGAACCCGAATTACAGGAATAGGAATTCTTAGGCCTGGTCTGGTAATAAACGCCAGACCAATCACAGTTACATAGACCCTGGGCCATCTTGAAACGAGTTGGACAAAAACAGCCTTGCCAGTCTTATATGTAAGTGGGAGACAAGGGTACAAGCCTATTCTCGCTATATTTAACTGATCGCTGGCCGGAAGGAAGAGTGTTCTCATTGGTGGTTGTAACCATCCATCGACCCTCCATCGGGCGTGTTTCGAAACACCAAAGCGGAATCCATCATGTGCTGACGAGGGCGACGATCTCCTGGGCTTGTTTCAGGTTGAGCCCACCCAGCGTACCAGCGATCGATGAGGACAGAAAGGGGTTTAGCCCATCCTTGAGCATCCCTGTTCCTTTGCAGGTAGCCTGTAGGGATCTGTCCAGACAGCCCCAACAGACAGCGTTAGACTATTGTCTTTTTCGTTGTGGGTTCATTCCGCGGCCACTCAGGACTTAGCACTCAGGGGTGGACAGACGACCTGCGGAATCGAAACAAACCGTTACGCCTTGCGCGCCCAATAAACAAGCCCATGTCAGTCAGCATGCAGCGCGAGCAACACGTTATGTATGTACATATGAGCCGGAGAGACTAGACTCGACCATAGCAGCGCAGTAGTGCAGTACGGAGTACACACACATACAGTACAGAATACAGTACAGTACAACCCCGTTTCGCAGTTTATACATTCATTCCATGAACCCCGGTCGAATGACGAACGAAACATGGAGTAGGGAAGAGTGCTGTACTGTAGCAGGCAAGCATCGAGTCTCGACTTTTCTACCTATATGACCCAAACGACAGCCGCCTGCGCGCGCTTGGCCTGGCCTGAGATCCTTCGACTTGGTATTACTTGCTAGACTATCTACTTACTTACTCTTTTGCCGGTCAATTCTGTTATGCCACAAACTTAACACCCTTTCTCTTCTTTTTTCCGTTTTGTTTGTCTCTCGTTAAAACGTTACTATTATTGAATAGTAATAAAACACCCCTCTCATTTCTATACCCGCTCTTCGAACGAGAGCCACCAAAAGTTGTCGATCTATTAAGTGCAAATCAGATGGGCGAGATGGATGATCCCTCGAGGGTATTAGCTCAAGCGAGACAACAACTCGAGGCCTTGAAGCAGGCTGGTCTGAGCCGAAATGATTTATTAGCTCTACTCGAGGAAGATTCCCAGCATCAGCAACAACAACAGCAACAGCAGCACCAACACATAACACCTGACGGTATGAGCCTCTTCTCAAATCATCTCGATAGTACTCAAGTTGACCATGTCAACCAGCCTCTGCCCTGCAGAACTTTAGCTATCACGACATCAATGCCTCATTTAAGCCTCCTCCTCAGTATAGATCGTCCATATCTACAGTATCAAGCAGTTCGAGCCGCGACAGCTGCTTCTCAACGACCTCAGTACGCAGTTCCGTCTCTTCTACGAGTAACCCCTCGAGCGAGTCCAAGTTTTGGTGCACATCCTGCAACAAGACATTCAAGCGCAAGTTCGACTGGAAACGACACGAGGAGGAGTTCCACGACCGTTCGCGTAAGTATCCATGCGACAGCTGTAACCAGAGCTTCTGGGGGCCCAACACCTTTAACCAACACCACAAATCCGCCCATGGCTGCCAGACCTGCCCGCACGCCGAGATGATCATGAGGCCGATGAAGAAGAGGAGGGCGTACGGTTGCGGTTTCTGCGCGGCGCTGACTGGCCAGTTTGAGCGGCACATTGACCATGTCGCAACACATTTTGAGAGCGGCATGACGAAGCAAGACTGGTCACATTCAAATGTCATCTACGGGCTGCTCCATCAACACGGAATTATTGAGGCCTGGAAGGGGCTCATTGCGAGCAAGCAGAATCAGTTCAACGAGCGCCAGCCCATGTTCGGCTGGTCTCCTGACTCGACAGGCAGGGCACATGGGTTCGTAGAGAACGAAAACCCAGGCCAGCTGCAGGATCTCCTTGAGTTCTTCGATGGCTCCAAGGAGAGCGCTAGAAGGATTGTGCAGCTTGCCGAGACATGCGTACACGTCGTTTTGCGACCCAAGTCACCGTCGAGTCCAGCAACTGGCACTGACCCTATCCCATCATCGTCAGGCACGCATCGACAATCTGTTCCGCGTCCAACAGTGCGGGAACCTCGAAGATCTACATCTACATCAGCGATAGTAAAAGCGAACAAAACAAACCGTCGAACGGCATCCGGTTCCAATCCCTTCGACACACAACCTCCAAACGCAGCGCTCTCTCCCGTCCCATCTATGACAATAAACCCATCACCATCACCCCAACCACGCCAATCACATCAACAACTACGGTCCGCAAGCAACGCATACCCCGGTTTTATTCCTACTCCCGACACGAGCGCTCAGTCCCAGCCCTCACTGACACCCATGTCGACACACACGAGCACATATGCGGACAAAGCCCTACCTCCTCCACCCTTAGACCCCGTGTCCCCCATGGCGGTCGATTTCCCACCGTTCCCAGAGGCTCACCACCACATGAGTGCGGCACCACCACCGCAACATCAAACGCAGTCTTTCCTTCCCGAGGTCGACTTCGTGAGCGATTGGCAGAGCTTCACGAGTACGCTCGTAGACGGAATCGGGAACGAACATCAACATCAACAACAGCAACAACAGGTGATGACTCCGTTCGCAGCACAGGGGGGATTCCCGATGAGCTGGGACGATCTAGGGCATTTCACAGGACCGCAAGGGACATAACACAACAGGACGGGGAAACGATTGGCGTGTCTGGTACGAACTACCATTTAATGATGATGCTATGAGGGGATGTCTATATGATATGATTTACGTTCGCGTATGTGTTATAAGAATGGCGGGTTTAGGATAGGAAGAGGAAAAGGAACTGGATGTATATGCACCGAGGTATGTGCACCCTTCCGCACGAGAAATCTCGGCTGGAAGCGCATAATGTTTATATATAGAAAGATGGTGGTGCTGTAATGCTGAGAATATCAAGAGCAAAATCTACGATACTATTCATTGAATTGAGTGTCTTAGACAGACATAAGTCGTCCTTTGATATTCAACTAGCTAACTTGCCAATATGACGAGCAGCCTTTCTTCAACGCCCCATGGTAGTCAAATAAACCTGAATGCAATTACTAGCTTGGCACAAGTGACATGTCGTCTATGAACGAACACGAGTAACTACATGTGGTCTCGTCCTTTCCTTACTAGTTAGATGGGTGCTACAGCTAACCTACCTAATAGAAATACTATTCCATCAAGTAGATTATTCTACCTCAACTAGATTACTTACTGTAGAGGTCACGCTTCATGAAATCAAAGGCACACACATCCTTATACTTACCTAGGGTATGTTAGACCACCGGGGTGCTGCTGCAGTGGCGTTGGTAAGCACCTGAAACGAGCTGATGAGGGGATGTCTGGTTGTTTGTCCTCAGACAATGCCCAGGCTCGTATAAGTGAGTTGGAGTTTGGAGTTGCGTAGCATTTTCACTCGTTTTGTTCTGTTTCAACCTTGCAGCCTGTTTGAACTAGTCTAGACTTTCGGAGTTCTCCATCTTATAGTCAGCGACGGGATCTTCGGCTATTCTCGCCACGTGTTTTCCCCTTGAGGGCCATCTAATCTTTTAGTTTGCATGGTTGTGCACAAGGGGCCTGTCATACGCCAGATTATCTCACCAGCCATTCAGAAAGTCCAAGCCTGCAGGCGAAGGTGTTAAGGCAAATAGACCTCCATGAGTTCCCCGATCACTGAACATGGCACTGCCTTGATTGACCATTCATAGCCCAGTTCCGGTGGCCCGGAACAGGGGTGAAAAGTAGACCAATTGTTCAAGGAATCGATATCGACACAGAAGACTTGCTGTTTGAATGGAGCGCTGTCCACGATTTGACGATAGCACGACGCCCGAAACGACGTTCGACTTTTTCCACTTCGACAGCATCGATAATGATGGCGAAGTAAACTATATCATTTCGGTACGCTATACATCGACCATCATGTGTATCACCGCCGAAGGTGACATCTTATAGACACTCAGTGGCGTCTTGAATGATTTCAAAGACCTGTCAGGACCGCGCGCCATCGACTTTATGTACTAGCAGCACGTCCGATGCACGCCAGCGTCAAGCTTCAAGCTTCAATTTTAGCATATTCAACAATGCAGCGTCAGAGCGCTCAGGCCTTGAGTCGCCACACGGTGCCTACTCATTGACCTTGATACTGCGAAGACGACCCTGACAAGCCGAAGCGACCACCCTAACGACGCTCGATGCACGGATCATGATGTATACGCCAGCGACTTTGTGTACATTCTTGCTTACCGTAATCTACTTATCGTCAAGTTGCGAGTTTCTTCAAGCCCTATACCTAATGATATTTAGCTCGGAAACCATGCGAGAGCTTTATGGCTACACATCTACTGTTCCATATTGTCACCCTCTTGTACCTAAAGACAAGATGTATAAGAATAAGTCAACTCATATTACGAGGAAGCTCAGGTCCAGCATCCGGACGAAGCTAACAGCAACGATAAGTCAACTTATCGAGAGGCTAGTCTGGTGGGTTAAGTTAGGGCAAATCCGGCCCGCAACCAACACTTCATCCACCGTCCATTATTTACACGACTCACACCTACTTAAACCCACGACCCAGCCCAGCCTCCATCGATTAGTCAGAAGCTCCTCACGAGCTTCCTTGGGCTTGTGGTTTAGTGGTATAATACTCCCTTAGCATCTACGGTTCGTCCGAGAAACTGGGAGTGGTCCGGGGTTCGATTCCCCGCGAGTCCAACGTTGGTGGTTTGATTCCGCCTGTACCTTGTTTTTTACTCTTTCCCTGCTCTTTTCTTTATCTGTTTTTTTCTATTAAAGTACCGGGTCGGAGAATGGATCATTTAAGTCTACCTAAAGTGAAGACATGGCATGGAAGGGGTAACATGTCTGCTACTAGGGCGAACTTGAATAAGTCTTCTAGATCTTACATATATCACAAAATGTCTTTAACTATGAACCTTACGTTATTGATTTTTCTACATATTTGTTCTTCTACCTACGACTAACCGGGACGCAAAAAGAAGTGCAAGAAATAAAGAATCCAGGTGGACTACAGCTATATGTTAAGGCGAGTGAACACTTTAACAAGCTGTTCTTAGAATACACTAATACCTTAAACTACACCTATATCCTGTTGATTGTTTCTGATGAATCTTGCTGTGCTAATGGTAATTCATTCAGTGCAGTGTCTTACAGTATCGCTTTACAAAGTAAAGTCGAGCTTAGATACTTATGTCAAAGTTATACGAATTCTTTCTAGTCACCCACTCATGTAGTCTATCTTTTCTGTTCAACAATGTACAGCGCGTAGATTATTCTAGTACAGTGGCGTCATGAATAGATTAAGTAGTCTTTCGCCTTCTTACGAAAGAGAATGAACTAGATAAATGCCTGGAGAGCTAATATTCAGACATGGTTATAAAATAGTTGCCAAGCTCAAATTGAACTTGAATTGAGGACTTATTACAGTCTGTCTTCCTTCACACTGATGGGGCTTGAACGATCGAGAGGGTCAAATTAACGACGAAGAATGCGGACACTGGAAACGGTTAATTTATCTCGTATTGATTGGCTGCATGTCCTCTTATCCAAGGTGCGCGTTTGTTTCTACCACCGCCCCAAGCTTCTGCTAGATCGACAAGACGACCCTCCAGTGACCACGATTGTCTTGAATGGAAACAGTAGGCAGAGAGCTGGATCCTTTCTTTAATCCAACGAGTTTTACGCCTAATGCTTATGTGTTTGCATGTCACAGGGATTTGATTTGAACATTCAAGTAAGAGATATTCAACCGTGAAAACTCATGGTACCTTCACAACGCACTTAATCTTGACAATTGAACTATGTATTATATTTTCAAATAAAGCACACTCCATTAGTCCAAATATCATATACTCATTTATCTCGTTCTCTACCACGACCAGCCAGTTAATCCATTCATTGTTTCACCTACTGAATAGGTAGATGCTGAAAAGTATGATGACGCCTTTGAGAGAGCTTTCATTTTCATAAGACTCCCAATACTCATCATTGTGGACATATGAAGCAAGATGTGTGATGAGATGACGTACAGTTTCTGGAGGGTTTAAGTCCGGCTACGGCGGCGATGTGACTCATCTTTCTTGGGTCGCAATGAGGCCTCAAGAAACCGGACCGGAACTCCAAGCGATATCCAATATAATACGATAACGCACCGAACAATCAGCAATTCAAAGAAATAAGCAAACAAGCAAGCTAGCTAGCTCAGTGGAAGAGCGCCGGGCTCATAACCCGGAGGTCGATTGATCGAAACAATCGCTAGCTACTCATTTTGTAACTCTTTTTACTGTTCTTTTGGTTTTATTTTTTTTCCCTTTCCCGCTGTGCTGTAAAACACTTGTGTGGGTCTAGGGTGTTTTTGTACTTGGCATTTGTTGGGCGAGCTGCACACTAAAAAAGTTTGGGTTCGCCTCATGTTTCCTAAAAAATGTAGCTTCATTTACCTACCTATATATCATACTGTAGAAGATGTTATTTTTCTTGTCACGCGACAGTCAATCTTGCTTATTTATCTGTGAAGCCGGTAATAACGTAGTAAAAGATTTCCCGTGAATTCCGCATCGCGCAGGATTAATTCCGTAAATCTTTTTATTATCATCCGACTTTGAAATGCCCAGTCGTCAAACAGGAAACAGGTGGGGTGGGGAGTGTTCAATTTAACCCAAGTAACAAACAGTACCTATTCGAAATCCCTACTAATTACCGGTATTAGTCCCTGTCCCTCATTTTTACCTCACTTACATCAGTGCAATAAAACCCCGTGATATGAAAATTATCAGTTTTCGACGTTAGCATCTATCTTATTGGGGGGCGACTGATTGGCTCCCAGGATGTTCTAAAAGTCCCTGCATCTTGATCTTCCCGTGCAGGACGGAACATGCCACATCGCGTGTTCATCTGCTATATGTAGATCACTAAATCAGTGTACATATGTATTCCACCTCGTCTCATGCACGACCAAGTCTGAAAATGGGGTATTACCAGTGATGCGACAAACCCGGAAAGTTTATTCACACCGATTCAAGATCGAGGGCCAAAGCTGGATAGACAGATTCCCGTCCATTCCGATAGGGACAAGAAGTCTGGCCTTTGTCCATCTGTGGGCTCTCTTACTCGAAATAAGACAGGTACCCAGGTTAGGAGGTAGGTACAGCAACAGGGTGTGTTAAATGTAAATGCACTTACATACTATATATATATGAATGGATGAATAGGTGATGGTAGTATATACATTGAAGTGACAAAGTCGGTACCATCAAGAAAATTGTGTATTACGCATCATGAATGTTTTTCTATCATCACATGTGCTGAGGGCACGGAGGCACTCACATGTACACTACCTAGGTACCTACAGTAGGTCTCCGATATACCCTCTTGAGGCTGGTACTGCCGGTTGCTCCCGCTTCGTCAATCGTGGGTTCCCGAAATAGCGTCATGTCATTCATTTTGTACTGTAGTACCTTAGTACCCAAGTACCTTGTAGGGCATAGCATGCGTCTACTATAGTATACTGTACAGCAGTAAAAATGGCACTGGTAAGAATACATGTATTGAACCATCATGCGCTCGCGTGGCCAAGTACAAAGTGACCCCGGTCAGAATCACTTTCCCAAAGCCGACATCATGCCAGATAACCGTCACATCAGGCCATTCACAATCCCCCATGATCAAACCTTGCATATTGTAGTATATGCCTGGCAAAAACACCATGTCGGCAGTCGGATGAGGAATCCTTTTTATTTTCCTTCCTGCATTCAATGTTCTAGAAGATAGTAACTAGAATTTCAAGGAAGAAAAAAAAAGGGGACGAAAAACCTTATCCATCATTGTCATCATCCTTCAGCTTTTTACTCAAACCCAACTTGAGAGCTCGTCATCCAAGCTTCACATATCTACTTAGAACCTAATCCAAACCAATTCGATCTATTCCAACCAAACCAATCCAAACCAACTCACCTCGTCTACATCATCTAGAATTCTTCCCCAACGCACAAAGAAAGAGCCAATCAAGAACAATAAGGAGAAGAACGGCAGGTATGGCACTTACACGGCGAGAAGCCGACCTGGTCAACGAGACCATACCAGCACTGCGACAACATGGAGAGCACATCTCAACCGTCTTCTATAAGACAATGTTGCGCGACCACCCGGAACTGAACCATTACTTCAACAGCGTCAATATGCATACAGGCAGACAGCCTCGCGCACTGACTGCCCTCATTCTCGCCTTTGCTTCCAATATCGTCAACATCAGTGAGCTGACGCCCAAGCTCGAGCGTGTCGCTCAGAAACATGCTTCCCTCCACATATTGCCCGAGCACTACGAGATCATAATGAAGTATCTGATACGGGCCTTCTCCGCCGTCCTCGGTCCTGCCATGACCCCGGAGGTCAACGTCGCCTGGACCAAGGCCTACTGGCTGATGGCCAAAAGTAAGATCATCTTCCCCTCATTTACCCGAAGCCGTAACGTCCGCTAATCTCATTGTTACTGGTAGTGCTTACCGGCCGCGAAGCAATCATCTACAAGGAATTCGGAGCCTGGACCGGTTGGCGCGTCTTCACCATCTCCAAAAAGACCCCCGAGACGGCCGAGGGCGACATCGTTTCATTCTCCCTAAGACCAGCTGATGGACAAGCACTGCCCACATTCATGCCTGGGCAGTACGTCACAGTACGCTTGAAGGTCAAAGGGCTCAAGTACTTGCAGCTCCGCCAATACTCCCTCAGCGATGCACCTCGACCGGATGCCTACCGCATCACCGTTAAGAGGGATATAGGCAATTCAGACCCAAAACCCGACACGAGACAGTTTGGGCCATCTGACGATGGCCCTCCCATCTCGTCTGCCGCTAGTAGTGCATCTGATAGCAGCATCGGCAGTGTGCGACCGCGCAGACCAGGCCTTGTGTCCAACGTCCTGATCGATGACTTCCAAGAGGGCGACACGGTTGAGTTGACGCACCCCGCCGGAGAGTTTTTCCTCGATACCAATGACCCTAATAACTGCCCTGTCATCCTCATATCGGCTGGCTGCGGCGCTGGTCCGCTGTTTTCTATGTTGAAGACGGTATCTGAGCAAGAGAATGGCAGACCCATATCCTGGATCCAAGCATCGCGCCATGATGCACCCTTCCGTAAGGACGTCGAGAATATAGCTAAGACGAACCCAAGTCTGAAAACCAGATTTTTCCGCTCACGACTTGCGGATGGTGATGTGATATCGCTGGCTACTCGCTTCCAGGAGGACTTCAGTACCCTAGGTTGGGAGGACCTATGGCTGCACAATAATATGGCACAGTACTTTATCTGTGGACCGGAGAAATTCATGACGGAGATTGGGAATCACCTACAGAAAAATGGGGTCAGTGCTTCTCGGGTGCGATTTGAGCTATACAGCGTTGGAAGTTTTGAACTGAAGCCAACAAGATAGAAGATATGGAGGAAAATGGCATGGCATAGATACAAGCTTCACTGAAGATTTTAGCTTCACTGTGTTGGGATGGCGTTGATGGTGAAACGGTCAGACAGGTGCATGGTGTCAGAGTTGTCGATCGCCTCCTTTGAGCACCGAGAAAATAAATGCTGCACAATAAGGTTAGCATATGATTCTATAGCAAAGAGAAACATAAAAAGAAGAGAACTCTCATCCGCACTTATAATGGCCACACCTTTCGCTAAATTTATATAGCCTGATT